CTGTTCTTACAAAGTGTTTCCCAGTGTCATGTTGTGGAACTCTGAGGACTCCTCTCAGCTCCCACTCAGGGAAGGGAGGTCCTGTAAGCACGTGGGGCCACAGTGACATAAAGTGACACAGATGTCGACATACCCCCCAACCTGTAAATATCAGAGTAACCCTCACAGCTTCTTTAGAGTGTCCATTCTCCCTCTGAATCACAAGAGCTCAGTGTTTGAAATGGTTTGCCAGTGTGAACTCTAAATAATAGGTCCTCGTACTCTTAGGCTGACCTTTAACATTTTTCTATACCACCACGGCATTTCAGGGTTATCTGCTGTGCTGACAAAATGGAAACAGTTGTAACAATTTTCCTATCTCCCCCCAGAGAGGGGAGAGAGAGAGAGAGAGAGAGAGAGAGAGAGAGAGAGAGAGAGAGAGAGAGAGAGAGAGGGAGGGAGGGAGGGAGGGAGGGAGGGAGGGAGGGAGAGAGGGAGGGAGGGAGAGAGGGAGAGGGAGAGGGAGAGAGGGAGAGGGAGAGAGAGAGAGTGTGTGTGTGTGTGTTGGGGGTCACTTTCAAAACAGACTACTAAGATCCATTAGGCTCCTTCTAATCAAGACTGATTAGGCAATAATCAGGTGCAGGTGCACAGTGGGGCTTTATTTTATAAAGCCCTTGTGTATTACTATGTGTTTTAAACGTAAATGTGGCAGGTTAAGTTGTGTGCACACCATACCAAGCACTACAATAAAATGTGGACTCAAAAACAAATTTACTTTTGGTATTTTGAGGCAGGGCCTCACTCAGTAGCACAAGCCAGCCTTCAATTTGTGATCCTCTCGCCTTAACCCCCAAGTGCTGAGACGAAGTATTCACCACCACAATCAGCTTCAAAAGTGTTCTGAAAAATGTATTTTGGAGTTGGGTTGGCGGCAGCGTGTGGCTTTAATCCCAGCACTTGGGAAGCAGAGACAAGTGGATCTTAGATCTCTATGAGTTCAAGACCACCTGGTCTATAAAATGAGTTCCAGGAGACCATCGAGACCCTATCTCAAAAAAGAAAAAAAAAAAAGAGGAAGGAAGGAAGAAAATAAGTCTCATTTTACTTAGCAATGGTGTTGCTTTTCTGCTACAAAATAAGCACAGCTTTATTCAACAAAAATCAGCAAGTTCAGAAACAGCAATAGTGTAACTAAATCCTAAAGATGGTTATGGGAGTCCACAACACAAAGGTCTCTAAGAAGACATGATACTGGTCTGCACATGCATGACACCTGCGGACTTGGCCTTATTAGGATCATGACCCAATTGATGAGTTATTTGACTCATTTTGCAAATGTGAAACATTACTTTGCCTTGTCCATATTTGACCCAAATAAACTGTGAACACCTAATGACATAGCATTGCCATTCAGTTACAGTTATCAATTATAGAAATAAAACTAAGTTAATTTCTTCCAATTTATTAAATAAGTGTCTCATCCCATGCCCCAGCCCCAAACCAATACAAGGTCTCATTATGTAGATCTGGCTGGCCTGGAACTCACTATATAGACAAAGCTATCTTTGAACTCAGGGATCCGCCTGCCCTTGACTCCCGAGTGCTGGGACTATAGGCGTATGATACCATGCCCATTTTAAGTAAGATTTTAGAAAACACAACAGATGTTATTTGCTATCAGTTATTAGAAGTGGGAAAGAGCATCTTAAACCTAATATTTTGGTCAGTTCATAGTGTTTCCAGTTTGAATTTCATAGACGTCATAATCCACTAGGAATTCTGATTAATCACTTACATAACCTTCTCTGAACCTTGGCATTTGACGTTGTGTTGATCAGACTTCCTTAGCTTTACTTTCTCTGTATGTGAAATGATGACTGACTTACAGGATTACCGGGTGGCTTGGATATAGTTTTTCAGACTTAGTGCTAAGTGTGTGATATTTAGGTCTCCATTGTGATGACAAAAATATTGAGACCAACAACTTTAATGGAGGAAAATTTGACTTTGGCTTACATTTTCAGAGGTTTTCATCCAGTGTCCTGGTTGCATTGGTTTTGGGACTGTGGTAAGGGACACCATTATGGAAGGCTACAGTGGAGAAAATGTCCTCACCCATAGAAACTGAGAATTGACACAGAAAAGAGGAGTGGACCATGTTCCCAACATCTTTTCCAATGGTGCACCCTATGACCACAAGCTAGCAACCAAGCCTTCCAATAACAGCAGAAGAGGGCATTAGTTTAAGATCTACGACATCACACTCTAACTGCTAACACACTAAACCTGTACTTCAATGCAAAGACTACTGCTATGTCTAACTAGCCAGCCTCTCCTACGGTTTACAAGGGCCAACAATAGCACTGTAGAGACAAGTAGGTATGGTATCTGTATCGTCTCACATACAAAAGTGGACAGGGCCAGACATCTCCCATTTATCTTTTCAGGTGTTACAACAGGCCTAGCTACGTAATCCAGGTTGGCCATTATTTTGAGGCAATGCTCTCTCAGCCTAAGTCCTGAAAATTATGGGCCTGCTCCCTCATGCCTCGCTAAAGTCTCCGATTTGTAATCAACTCTTAATGATCTCATTTAATCATTCAAACCACCATCTCCATTTGGAAGGAAAGAAAAACTCACAAATGCAGACACGTCTCTTCAGCTCTACGAAGTTTTCCAGACTGCTGTGTCCAGATCCTTCAGGACAGCCATGGAAATCTGAAAGAGACGGCACAGATTAGCTGGGGCTGACCAGATTTTCAGAGTGTTGCTGCTTAGGAGCCGCAATCAGCGCAAGGACAGAGACAAACCTTCAGCAGGAGGCTGGGTTGGATTCAGGAAGTTCCTCAAAACAGTTGTTCTTTAGAGTCCTACAAGACAGAGCAGGACCCTCTGGGAAAAACACACCTTAACACGGCTCAGAAACCTCTCCAGTTACTAGACACGCCCAACAGCTATAGCTAAGGCACACTGAAGATGAAAAGCAAAGGTAAAAGAAAAGGAAAACAAAGCTGTCTGTGAAAACGGAGTGGGCCGTGACTCTAATCTCAGCCCCAGGGAGGTAAAGCAGGAGGATAGCAAGTTAGAATTCCAGTTGGCCTGGCCACAGAGAAGTTCCAGACCAGTCTAGGGGAGGGAGCAGGGGAGAAGAAAAGTGAATCCTTAGTTGTGGATTCACCTTGGAACAAAACTGAATACTCTAAAATAGAGATCTCTGTCTCTGTCCCCCCCCTGTGTCTCTCTCCCCCTCTCCCCCTGTCTCTCTCTTCTCTGTCTCCCTCCCTCTCTGTCTCTGTCTCTGTCTCTCTCTCTCTCTCTCACACACACACACACACACACATACATAGAGAGTCTTCTTTGACCATACAGCAACTCAAAAGTATCAAGCTGGGTCAAAGGTAGCATCAAGTTGAAGTTACTGGTGAATCAAATGTACTCTTCACAAGTCTACCACCTTGCCCAGCCCCCTAACTTCCTTCTGAAAAGACATAGTCTCCTTTCCCAAGAGAAGCAAGCAACCTGTAAAACAAAGCCCATGCCCCACAGCCCACGTGGCTTCCACTAGAATCATTCAGCTGGCAACGGTTACATTAGGATTTCCTTTGCACAAAGGAACGGAGTGACAAGGAGATAGCAAGCATGAACTAAATAGGCTTAATTAAGGGAGATGTATCAGCTACATCTGGGCCAGCCCATCCTTGTCATTGTCATCTTAGGGTACTTGGACACTGGCTATGGTTAAGTTTATACTTAGTAATGGCCTGGTCCTGATGCAGGTCTCATCACTGCCATCTTCTCGTCAACCAATCCTCATCCAGAGATAGTACATACCCAAACTGAGGAATCCAGATGAAAATGTTTTCAAATCGTCAGTTCAAAATAGCCAGGCAAATATCACAAAGAGCCAAGAAAGAGGATTCTAGCTGAGGCTTAGCAAGAAAAGGTTGAGAATGAAACATTTCTATTAAACAGATGGCATAAGTTTTACACTATCATTGGTTTTTTATCTCAGGCACAGAATTCAGAATATGAGTAGAACTTCACAACTATAAATAAAAACCTGACATGGCTATTTTGTTCCAATAAGCATCTAAAACTCATTATACCATGCCAGGCAGTGGTGGTACATGCCTTTAATCCCAGCACTTGGGAGGCAGATCTGTGAGTCTGAAGCCAGCCTGGTAAAGTCAGTTACAGGACAGCCAAAGCTACACCGAGAAACCCTGTCTCAAAAAACAAAACAAAAACATTATACCTTATCAAAACCAAAAGAATTGAAAGGAAAAAAACAAACAAAAACAAATTTAGAAGCTGAATACCATGAAGTACTTATCATATGTATTTGGCTACATGAATTTTGTGGGGACCACATATACCCATTTAACAAAGAAATTTAGGTAAAAATATTTCAGAATTGTTAAAGAAAATCTATTTTTTCTTCCCAGTTGGTCATATAAGATGTAATTTCTGGGTTTTATTTCTCAACAGCTACAGAGCCAAACATGAAAAGTAGCTTGCACACTCAGAAGGCGTGCGTGAAGTGCGGCCCCTCAGTACTTTATTACTATTGGGGGAGGTAGTAAGGTTAATTATGGTAAAGGAAATTATCCTTTATGAATCCTACATTCATATAATATCCTCATAGAGACCAAAATAAAGAAATGGAGAGAAGAGAGCCTTAAAATTCTAAGTTTAATTCCACCCAATTGGGAAAGCACTGGAGACATAATAAGCATGGGAACTGGCAATGTGGTGGTCAAACTTCTTCCTACCAGAGTTAAACTCAACTGACTGTAATACTTAGTGTGAAATCTCAGGCCAAGAAATTTTAAAAGCCTCAGTGTGCAGTTATTGGTCTTACTATGAGGTATATTGCCTTGGTTCAAATATACTGATAATGTGTGGCCTGTATACTGTCTATGACATTTTAAAGCCCCACAAAGTATTAATCCTGGGCAGTAACTTTGAAGAAAATAAAACATCTTTAAAAATTCCAAAGCCATAGAAAATCAGCCCTGTTATATTTCAATTGTGGAGAAAATTTAATGGCATTTTAAACTCTGAGATATGATTTTTCCCCATAAAACACAGTATGCAATTATTTCTTTAGACAAGTCCATCAATATCACAAACAAAAATATTTATAACTTGGTTTGTAATGGATCAGTAATATTATGTAGCTCAAAGTATAGGTGCCCTGATTGTGTAAAATATAAAAAAATCCAGAGAAATCTTCCAGAGTCTCTTTAAAAACATCAATTAAAACTGAAGGCTTTCTGCATTTGAAAAGCAATGGCTTTTAAAGAGGATGAAGGACTATGGTCCTTAAAGATTGTTAACATCCTGATGTCTGTAATGAAGGGAAAAGCTAATCCTAGTTCTTAAGTCACACAAACTTGTCATTGCAGCTGATTTTCAACATTTATACATGCAACAGAAATTACAAATCTGTAAAACATTACAATACCATCCAAAAGAAAACAAGGATATACAAAGAATTTGATAAATAAAATTATTGCATTTAATGTTATTTTCTTGAAAATCCAAATCATCATATTCCTTAATGTTGTACCACACAATGCCAGTTCAAATTATAGAAAATGTATGTCAACACTACCTGCAAACAAAATTAAGGAGGGTACAAATCCCTCCTTACACTTTAATTTATGTCAAGTGATCATGGAAACAAAGGGTATTAAAATTACTTTATAATTATGCACAATGAATGAAAGCATAATAGATAGCAGAGAACTCTTCTACCGTAAAATTATTTACACCCAATTTATTCAGCTAGAAACACTAGCTTGAGAGGTACTGGTCTGGTATATTCCACTTGAAATAACTTCGCGACAGCAAACAATTGTCTGATATTTGGAACACATTGAAGAAAATAGTTGTCTCAGTGATTTGTGTTGAGTCTTGATTCCTATCAGTACAAGGTATTGTGGGAGAATCCCGGTGTCCTGGATGGCCCAATAAACACAAGAAGGTCAAGCAGGCGTTTGTACCCTGAAAACTATCTCCAGCCCATACAGACGCTTGTGGTGTAGGCCGCAGGCCCGGACTTCTCCTACTGGCACTGGGACGTGGTGGCAAGCCTGGGTTAGGAGAGCTTCACACCGATTTTGCTTTGCTCCTTCTTCATCAGCCGCTGGGCCTCCTTCTCCATCTTCTTTCTCTGCTGCTCGGCTGCCCTCTTTTCTCTGTCTGCAATCTTCTGCTGCCTGAATAGAAACATCCTTTTCTTACATTCAAAAGAAGACTGCGCAGGAAAGACAGCAAATGACTTGTACAAAGGGTGCCTTCTTTAATCAAGAACAGGTTTCATGCCTTAAGTTTTCCCCTTTCTCTGAAAAGTTCAGGGATTTTTCAATAGGACTACTTCTGCTTATCCTTAGAAGAAAACTTTACAAAACAAAAATGGTATCTCCATGTACAAACAGGAAAAGTGAGTCACAAAGCTAAGACATTTGGCCAGCCATGTTCTACTATGCCCAGGGAATAGGAACCACAGCTTCTGAGTTTGCTACTTGACCTGATTTCCGCACTTGGATTCACCCACTGCCTGTGTGTGTGTCAGGGGGAAACTGTCCAAAGCAGGTTGATATTGGAATGAATTCTCGTTATTAGAGAAGATTTTCTTCAATTGGCTAAAGATGTTAAAAACACATTGCAAAGAAGAAATGGAATTTAAGATGTACCTTGTACACAGAACCAAGAAACATAAAGATGAACGTTTGAGTCACAACATGAGGCCTATAGTAGATATTTCTCAATTTCATACTATGAGTGTCTGGATCTTGGCCTAGTAAAACTCCACTGATCAGAAATAATAAAAACACGCTATCCTTACCAACTGGCTTGTATAGGAAGAGAGACTGGGCCTGGAATGATGGCACAGGAGGGGGGGCTAAGTGGGGTGAAAAAGTAACTCAAGAAGTATATAAGGCTGAAGAAAGCTTAGCTACCAGTGAACGTGGAACAGGAGACATCTACATCTATGCAATCCAGGCCAGGGCAGCTAAATTAGCATACGCTCAGCTTAAAGCTTACAAAAGTCACGTTAGTGCATAAATATACATACAAATATGCATATGCATGTATATGCATCTGATTTTCAGTAACAGTTACGAATGCAAGGAGGCAGAGTTAGAGATGACCAAAGTTCCACCAAGGAGAAAAATTTGTTTGCGGGAACCCTTCAACTTTCACCATCAATTAACCAAGTTTAAAGAATGAAAGAAAACTTAGTCTACACTAGCTCTGCCTAAGTGTAAGAAAACCTGAAAACATGTACTAAACAAGATGCCCCAAAACTAGCATTAAATTAGGAAGGAAAACAATTATAAAGGACTGGATAGGTTGTAAGAAGAGAAACGTGACATGGATCTTATCTGAAATGAAAATATCAGCAAGGAACATTCCAGGCACAAGGAACAATGTAAAGATCACTGAAGTCACGTAACTGATCACAGAGCTGGAGTAGTTTAAGCTGGCAATGGAAAACATTCTGAGCTTAAAGAATCGGGAGCACGGATGCACTTTCACAATGCTTAGTGTCTCTCTAGAGGCACCAATGCCACAAACCTCCATGTCCTCTTGTCTGTACCTATGCAGCAGGAAGCTTGTCTGTATGTTATGAGGTAATAACTGCATCCAATTACACTGCCATTATTATGTAAAACATTATCATTTTCATTTCTGTTTTAGTTAAGGAATACGATAGGATAGAAAAGGGAAGGTTTAGAGTAACATTAAGCTGCTCTCTGCTCATAGCTTAAGGTTCCCTAACACTGTCATTAAGATTATTAGATTCAGATTAACAGTCCTTTCCTTGATCCTTGTGCTACATGAAACTAATAATTATTAAAGCCCTTCAATTTTTAAAATTGCAAATAAAAATGTCTTTTTTGATGAGCCTTGCAACACTAGTATTTTGGTTCACAATTTTTAAAAATACCCTTTATTAAAGACTCACTTACACTGACAAAAGGGAAACAAAATATGGAAAACTCTGACTTCAAAAATGTGATGCCCCCCACTCTCCCATTTAAAAAAAAGACATGGTGAAAACAAGATTTAGAAGACAAACAAGCCAAACTTCTGGCTATTTAACTGCGCCCTCTGTTGGTTATTTAAGGTTACTATAAATTTGCCATCAAAGACAAGAAAAAAGATAAAAACATAAAAAGGAGTACAAGTAAAAGGTAATTCACTTTCTATCCACAGGGCAAAAGCAACATAATTTTAAAATAAAAATTCTATCACTAAATTTTGATATTTTTTTATATTTTATGTGTATGCATGTTAGCCTGCATGCATGTATGTGCGTTATGTGTGTACATGTGCCCACGGAGGCCAGAAGGGGACACTGGGTTCCCAGAAGCTGATATGGGTGCTGGGAACAAAACCTGGGTCTTCTGGAAGAGAAGCAAGTGCTCTTACCCACCAAGCCATCTTCCAGTCCCTTGCTGTGTGCTGTGTGACCCCAAGTGCACAGACACTAGACAGATTCACATCTGCCGCTGTGTCAGAGCTAACAGTCACAGTTCTGTTGTTGCTATTCGTCCCTTACTTTTTGACCCAACATAGAAGCACAAGAACTAAGTTTATTACTCCCAGAAACCTAGAATGAATATCCAACAAAACTGAACTTTAAGACTACAGAAAAATAGGTACTTTTCTATAGGTTGGGCTGTAAATATGATGCCCCTGTTTTAGGGGACTTCCGTGGATACTAAAGCAAGATACATTTGTGAGGAAGGGTGCTGTATAGGTACTTTTATGCAAATGTGCAGATCAGACCCTGTATTAAGGTGTGAAACGATAAAATCAAATGACAACTTCTAGAAGAGTGTATCACGGTGTCCCACATTTCACAGCAGGGTGTACCCTGTCTATACAAACAGCCTTACCGTTAAGATTATTATCCTTTGGTTCAGACAGTGTTTTAGATTCATAGCACCAAAAAACTTAGGTATGAAATCTGGAACTCAGAGCATGCTCAGTGAGCAACAGTTGTAGAAGGTTCAGTGTGGGAAACTGGAGACAGACACGGTCCCAGCGGGCTTTCTTAAGTCTGCCCCATGACATCACCCAATACCTTAGAACTTCTTCCGCTTGCCAGGCTGCGTCTTCTTCCTCCTCCCACGCATTGGTGTTTTCTTGCCAGGTATCTAAGTCTCCTAATTCTGACTGCATTGAAGAACAAAGAAACACTGAGGCCTCCATTTCTCTACAGCAGTTCAGATCCAAGACAATCAAAACCGAGAAGCTTTAAGTCTAACTCAGAAGAGCCTATTTCTCCCCTATGGCTCCCTAACTCTGTACCAATCCCTGCACAGGGCATGAATGATGCGGCCTCTAGTTTGCCTAGAGCTGCAGGTTCCACAATAATGCCATGACATGTGACTTTCCCAAGTGGTAAAAATGTTCTGGCCAACTGGCATAATAGTGGCACTCCTTCTGGAGCCAACCATCTGCTGCCTGGATTGGAGGGTGGTTCCACACCACAGAATTCACACCTGGGACCATAAACCTGGTCAAAGGTCCACGGCTGGGGAGGACACAGGCACCAGGAGGAACAGCTACGGCTCCTATCCTGCTAAACAGATATGCTGTGCTCACGCAGTTACCTTCTAGAGATGCTCGCTTATGCCTACAGATGGGTGCTGCTGTCAGCTTCCGTCAGAGAAGCTTCGTTTTCCAGTCGCCTGTGGTTACTCTAGACTCCTAAGTGCTCAAAGCCACCAGGGTCAGTGGCTGCTGAATGCTGGAGTCTAAGAGGGCACCTCTACTAACATCTCCTGCCCCCAGGGCCCAGGCGCAGATGGAAGGGGCAGAAGGAACATAAGGAATAGACAACGTATTGTGAAATACAGTCTTCCTGAAATGGCACAGCAACTGCACTCAAGAACTCACAGTAGCTATGATTAGCTGCATAAGACCTAGTCCCTCAATATTCCCGAAAGGAAGTGGGGAGGGGGCTCAGGTGGCCCCTTTATACCTAACGACCTACAGGCAGCTACTGATAGCTGGGGGATGGTACAGGCACTGGCAAATAAGCAACAAATAAAATTCATTCATACACACATACAAATTCATACATACATACATACACACACACACGCACGCACACGCGCACATGCGCGCGCACACACACACACTCTAAAGACATCAAAACCATCCAAGCGAAGCCCACAACAGTGACAAAGTGTAAAGGATGACAGAAAGTGTTGACATCCTTAGTATAAAGTTTTCATAATATAAATGATGAACTTCAGGATGAAAACAGAATATCTGATTTGAAAACTACACACTGATTACCTACAGGCAGCAGTTAATGCTTACTGGGGGACAGATATTTTCTTCAGTGGTATAACAACAGGTAAGGTATTGATGCCCCCCACAAATTGCCACTGTAAATAATCCCTGAGTCATGCTCTTCACAAGCAACCTAAACGCATTGGGCCATTAAAGACAAAGACACGGAAGTAGAGCTATCTACAGTGCTATATCTTCATAGCATCATGTGTTATTAAAGCTTGTAATTGCGTGTGCAATCCTTTGACAGTGCCTCCTCATGATAGGCAATCCCTCCCCTTCCCACACCCTTAAAATCCAAACAATTCTGCACAAGCAAATCCAAACAGCCCTGTAGAAGAGCGCCTGATAAAAAACAAAGATTTCACGTAAGCTCCTGAACCCGGTGAAGTCTGCATCTGACTACAGACTCAACGCAGTGACTGTTCACAAACTCACCGGAAACTGAGACAGGGTCGCCCAGTTTGATCACCCCTGGATCCTTAGATCACAGAAACTCTGTGAGACAAAGAACCATCAGTACTCACTGTGTTTGAGTTTGTAACTGGGAGCTGGTGTAATCAATTATTCAAAGCATACTTAGGCCTGGGGAGACATCTAGGTACTTGTGGGGGTTGTATTTTCATTTTTGAGTTTAAAAAGTCCCCCAGAGATCACGCTGATACACTTCTCAGTGTTGGGTACCCCAACTTTCTACTTTATTCACCACTTAAGGTTCCCTTAAGTCAAATTCATCTTAAATTACACCATAGTTAATGTAAACTTACTCTATGATGAAAAAAAAATTCCCAAGTCAAAACTTACCTTAATCATTTTAGGGGCAATTCCTCCAAATTCTATTTGTAAATATCATCACATTTTTGTCTCTATCTTCTGTGTGTATAATGGTATCCTGACCAAGTGTCCAATATAATTTGTAATCTTATAAAATAGTATGTTGGTAAAGCTACAGATGAACTTTTAAATTTGTTCAAATCCTTGAGAATTTTTCTCTTCTTAAAAAAAAAAAATCAAGGTCACACCTCATGCTAGCTCTCATTACCATACTTACTGACTGATGAATAAAAGGCATGTCTTGTGTAGCTGCCAATCGACTGGAAAAACCTGTGTTACCATCAGGGATACCAAAATTCAATGGTTCCCTCTTCTTAATGACAATCTGAAAGATCAATTACAACAGGGTTACAAGAATATTTTACACAAAACCACATCGAAATAATTAATGGCTTAAATTGTGCCGGTTCTTTATAATGAACAACGCAGTAAGAATTACTGTGCCAATACCATCAAAATTCCCATGAAATTATAACATAAAACAGGTTCACTCTAAGAAAAACTGTGTCTCACTTTAAAAAAAAATTCTGGTTTTTTTCTTCACCCTATTTTATGAGGGTCCCTAAAATTTAATTGGGTACTTTAAGTTACTAAATTAAATAATAATATGTCTAATATGTTCTACCAAAAGTATACTCACAACTTTTAACATGTGGGATAGCTATAAACAAATTAGCTCTTCCTGGCTAATACATTAAAATATATTTACTTGAAATATTGTAAATTTCAGGAAAAGCACCATCAATCTAAATTTATGTAACAAGGCATCACATAATATACTAAATCCCAGCAATATAGTTTCACAATACAAAATATACATCAACTGAGAAACTTGTAAGTACCCCTTCCTTTTCTTATTTGAAACTTTTGAATAACACAACTAAAAAAAAAGAAAGAGAGGAAAAAGTAAAAAAGAAAACAGAAAGCTCTTCTATATTCTCCTTGTAGTCTTTCCAATATCTCTGCATCTCTAAGTGATCTCATTGTCAGCTCAAAGGGAGAGAAGGAAAAATGCTAACATACTCATGACATCACAGCAGGTTACCATTGACTGTTGAACTGCTGTATATGCTTATAACGAGACCTTATTTATAGATATCATTATATTCGTTAAAGCTGCTGTTTTATTGGCTTAAGTTTCTCTTAGCAGAACAAACCTACTACCTGACATCCAATAGAATTTCTGCAAATGCTTAGCTATGTTAGAAAATTGGGACTGTACATCACTAGATTTATGTCTAGGTCATGCGAATTAATAAATTCTTACTTAATGTGAGAAACGAAAACGATAAACAGGCTTTCTAATAAATACAACCGGACCCCCTAGTTTTAACTACTGGCAACCTCCACAAGAGCAATCTTAACATACTTTCTGAGTTTTCCTTATGGTTGGTGTCATGTCCTTGAAATAGTCAGGTTCCAGCTGCTCCAAAGAATTCTGCTGCGTGGCCACACTCCCATCCCCTCCTTCAATCTTCACACTTGTGGGGGCGTCTTCGTCCCAGGAAGTCCACTCCTCCACATCTGTCTGAATTTAATTGGTTGACTCGTCAGCCATGAAGGGTCAACCTAGCGACCACCTCAGTCTTGTTTTAAAACTGTTGAGTCACAGACATGTATGTAGTTCAAACCACACACCAAAACTTTCTCAGCACATGCTTTTGAGAACTGAGCTAGCATTGCATGTACTGACCGCAAAGGGTAGACTGGAACTTTCCGTTCAATCCTAACCAAAATGATCACCTGACTTTAAAAACAAAGTATAAACATTCTCCACAAGAAGGAAGTCTCAAAACATAACTTCAAATGCCTAAGAAACAAGCCACAATTTTCAGTATGTAAGGAACCCATGAATCTTAATTCACATGAAAAACTAACTACAAAATGTCAACCCCAAGATGATATAAATATAGGACATATATGAAAATTTTAAACATTAAGTGTTCCATAAAATAGCACACACTTAAAGCCAGTGTGTGTGTGTGGGGGGGGGGGGGGTTAGATGTTAACAAAGAGATACAAAATAAAGAATCCAGTAAAAGTTAAAGTCTAACAAACATTAGTAAAATCCACAAAGAGTCCTGACCACCCAGTTATTTGACACAGTCTAGTTTGAAAGATGGTGTTACACACTCCATGACAAACTACCTGCTTAGGGACAGACGAATAATCAACTGTGGTGGGCAAAGTTATTTGGTCTCCACTTAATTTCCTTCCTCTGCCAGATCTGAAAGAAACAGGATATGTTTCAAGAAGCACCCAAACAAGCATGAGTGAAAAGCATTTTAGGTGGTAGTTTACTCAGAAGGTGAGACTTTTCAATTTTATAATTATTGTTTCAAATCATAAGTGCTCGGAGAGCTATGCTGAAAAAGCAAGACTCAGCAATCTTGTCAATGTTTACAAAATCTTGGGCAATGTAGCTGCTTTTCAGGTTAGGATTCAGATTTACAGACAAAATTATAGAATTTGGGATGGACTGAAAGGCAAACACAAATGTAAACTAACCCTAACCCCAACAAAGCTGTGTACTCCTCCAGTGCTCGAAATTCTGTAGATACAGTCCTATACTATTAACCAGGGAGGGTTGGTTATCTGCTTTATAGATTTCTTGGTAGAATTTAGTATTCAACTACTTAAAAGTTTGGGGATATAGTTCAGTGGTTAAGGGCACTAACTGTTCTTCCAGAGGCCCTGGGTTCAATTCCTTGCACAAACACAGCAGCTCATGACTGTCTGTAACTCCAAGATCTGACACTCTCACACAGACCATACATGCAGGCAAAACACCAATGCACATAAAATAACAAATAAATAAATTTTATAAAAAGAAAAGTTTGAAAAATCAATTAGCCAAACTAAACCAATTCATTTCTAACAATCTATAGGAAAATACTACATTAATCAAAATATAATTCAGTTGTTAACCTGAGCTATGGACTCTAGGTTTTCACAGTAATTTTACCGAGTCTAGCAAGACTAACTCAATTTATCAGCTACAATATCCTCACCTGTAAACTGGACATCCACACTACATTTCTAATGTTCTTTCAACGGTGTAGCTAAGAAACACATTTAAAGCAACTAGAACAGCATCAGTGACATAGGAAGATACGAAAACACAGTCACTTGTACAACCCAGAGATCTCTAACTCAGTCCCTTAGAGTTAAAGGACAAATTCACAGTTTTATTTTATTCACCTGTAAAGGATGAAAACACAAGTATTACAACCAATTACGAAACTTATGCCGAAGGCATGGAATTTTACAACACGGAATCCAGGTTCATTTTGACAGCTAAGGCAAGTTTATCCTAATAAAGAGCTGGTTTTCTTTACAACTGAATGTACAGTCATTCTTAAACATATTGACACTGACAACAGAAACTCACAGTGACAACAAACAAAGTCCTTAATATGAAATCAAATACAGTTTCCTATTCTAACACCAACCTACAGTGACTGGAGTCTTGGAAACTGCAGACACGTGAAGACCCTCATGCTCCATGACGACTGCTCAAGACACCTTTACCTCTGTCTGGGATTAGGACTCACTCCATCTTGCTTTCCCTAGAAAATTTCTAATCACTCTTCTTAACTCTCTGACTCCTTCCTTTTTCATCAGTTTTTTTTATCCTCAAGGGAAATTCCAACAATCACCCAAATCCCCTTCCTTCCTTTTGTTTCTTGACTTCTCATCTACAGTGATCATTTCCTCGACATGCTAACTTCTGAAGAGGCTCAACCAAGCATTGTGTGTACTTTCAAAACTCCCCACTGAGAAGAGAGCTGACCACCATTCACACCCGCTGGTCTTCCATCCTAACTTAAATGTATCATTAATTGCTGCTCTTGCAGAGAATCTTGACTCGGTCCCCAGCACCCACGTGGTGCCTCACAGCTGTAGCGCTGTTTTTTTGTTGTTGGTGGTGGTGGGTTGTTGTTGGTTTTGAGACACAGTCACTTTAAGCAGCTCTGGCTGTCTCACAGAGATCTGCCTGACTCTGTTTTCCAAATGCTGCAATTAAAGGCGTGTACCATGCCTGGTTTCAGTCCCACTGATTAAGAGTTAGGCCTGACTAACTCAATCCTTATATATGTCCTGACTTCTTAGTAGCCATTTGAAAAGCTTAACACACATCTCTCTCACGTGCTCTCTCTCTCTTTTTCCCCCTCTAACTACAGTCAAGAAGCTTCAAAAGACGGAATGCAACTTCACAGCAGCCTAAGCTACACAGAAATACAGAGGCCAGCCTGGGAGACACAGCAACATCCCGTTTCCAAAAATAAATAAATAAAGCATTATTTTGATTGGGAATACAATTTTTTACTACTAGAATATGTATGCTTTCTGAGCCTTGAATCAGACTGAATACTGCCACCCTTACTTTCTGCTCTACATCAATTTCGGTGGCATAATTACTTTAAATTACAACCCAAGAGCCTAGCTTGGCAAAGATATGTCACCAAAAAAGCTGGAAGCCCTAGTGCTGTAAATGTGAGCTACTTGAGTTTGGATTCCACCAGTGCTTGACTGACCATGGCAGCTCTGCTGGAAACAATCAAACTTAGAACACACTTGTGACTGTCATGGTGAGTCCTGAGGCCCCTGGAAATGGAGAAGCCACAGCTAGGGTGTGGCCATGCGGTAAGTCAGAAGGATTTGGAATCTAAGGATAGCCAGATAGAATTTATTCTGGTCCACCTGAAACACACACACACACACACACACACACACACACACACACACAGAGAGAGAGAGAGAGAGAGAGAGAGTGAGAGAGAGAGAGAGAGACCGAAGAGGACACTGGATCCCCCTAGAACTGGAGTTTAGACAGCTGTGAGCCACCACGTGGGTGCTGGGAACCGATTCCAGATTCTCTGCAAGAGCAGCAATTACTTTTAACCACTGTCATCACTCTAGCCTCTCTGTTAAAGGTTTTCAAAGTAAATGTAAAAATAGAATTCATATGGAAATATACACAGTGCCTAACTTAGCACTTTTAAACATTTCAGTAATGAAGCAATACACAATGTCTGTGGTGATGATGATACTATTCAAACATTCTAATAGTGAAACAATACGTAGTATCTGTGGTGATGATGCTATTTAATGTTGGTCGACTTCTTTCCAACATTTTACAGGATGAATTATTTAATAAATCAGATGGGAGATGCAAAAATCTGAAAGAACAACAGAAATCCTTTCTAGATCTGCAAAAAAATGTTTTTAATAAGCATAGAGATTAATGGATGTTATACACAGGACAACTAATTTAAATAAAACATTCCATGTCTTTTGAAGAGACAAATAAGTCAGTATGAACACAGAGATCATTTACCTGCATATTAGTCTCTTTAGGAAGGAGAACACTGTTGCTAGGCAGGTGCAAACTTTAAATAACCGAAACTGAGTGATGGCCATGGTGAGAACCAAAACCTGTGGGGAAGGCACACGCACACACAACGTATTAGACACCATGCTGAAGCCGGGTTCCTCTTTTACATCCAACTTAAAAAGTCCATATGCACTGGGGCAAATCTGACCTTTTCACTTTTCTCTAAGAGCTACAAAGACAACAGTAAATTCTAATACAATGTAAGTAGCCTAAGAATTTTTAGTATTTGTGAGAAAGAATTCTCTTCATTCTCAATCTCTGAAAAATGTTTTGCTTAAATTAGTACAAATTTATTTATAATTAAAAAACTCAAAAAGTAGAATGGCCAAGATCAAAATCTCTGATGACAGCTTATGCTGGAGCGGATGTGGAGAAAAGGGAACACTCCTCCATTGCTGGTGGAAGTGCAAACTTGGACAGCCACTTTGGATATCAGTATGATGGTTTCTCAGAAAACTGGGAATCAGCCTACCTCAAGACCCAGCAATAACACTTTTTGGCTTATATCCAAAAGACACACACTCACACCACAAGGACATTTGTTCAACTATGTTCATAGCAGCATTATTCACAACAGCAAGACCTGTAAACATCCTAGATGTCCCTCAGGCAAAGAATGGATAAGGTAAATGTGGTACATTTACACAACGGAGTACTACTTAGCGGTTAAAAAAAAATGACATCCTTGAAATTTGCAGGCAAACGGATGGAACTAGAAAGAGCCATCCTGAGTGAGAAGGTAATCCAGACCCAGAAAGACAAACATAATATGTACTCACTCATAAGTGGACATTAGACACAAAGCAAAGGACAACCAGCCTACAGGCCACAACCCCAGAGACCCTAGGTAACAAAGAGGACCCTAAAGAGACACATGGATCCCCCTAGGAAGGGGAAAATAACAAGATCTCCTGAGTAAACTGGGAGAGTGGGGTCAGGAGGGAGGGTGGAAGAGAGGGGTGGAGGGAAAGGGAGTGGGGGAAAATGTATAACTCAGTTAAAAAAGAAAAGGAAAAAAACCCACAAGTATCAACTAGTATATATTAAACCTTTCTATGCCTTTTACTGCTTCTCCTCAACATAGCACCATTGAAAGTATTTTCAACATTTCAACCTTTAGATATTTTCATTATGTGTATTTCATAGATGGAGAAACTGAACTTAGGAAAGTCAAATAACATGTTCTAAGCACAGCTAGGAACAAAGCGCATCTAGTCCAGAGGTTTGCAAATCTAGCAATCGGTTCAAAGAAAGACAGACACTCCAGCCTGCACTTCACAAGTTTATTAATCCACAGGCTCTGAGGAATCAGGACAAATCACAGCCAACAGTCACTTCCCGGTTCTTAAGGATAGTTCATAAAGCAGTTTCCTAAAACTAAGTAGTAAGAAATAGTATTCACCTCCAATGAAGATGAATTAGGAAACTAAGATCTCCACCTGAGTGGTAACAATACTATTTGATTTGTTGTATATTTTGTTTACACATTATACCTCCATGGAAAAGCTCAACATGCACAACCAAACAGCAAAGAAAAAGACAGAGGAAAACAAGAGCACTAAGAACACACACACTGTGGTCCCCGACCTTGGCAGTTCCTTCTGAAGAAAAACACAGCAAGAGCTTTCTGTCTAGGCAGACTACTAAAGGTACAAGGGAAAAGTTCCACAAGGTTCCCTTAGCAATGCTCAAGTATTTTTGTGCATATGAAGACTGCCTATCTTAAGTGAATGATCTATTTCATGTCCAAGGCTGGCGGTGCCCCACAAATGAACAGTAATTTCTAAAGGAAAGGAACCAAGAGCCATTAACAATTTCCTTCTTCATGTAGTATATGTATTTCTGACAAATAACCCCAAAGTGGTGTACTTGCTTTAGAAAACACAACAAAAAGGTTGACTCCCTTATCTCAAAGATTCTTAGAGATGCCAAGTAGCTTAATGAGCCTTATCTAGCTTCCGCTTGCTGTCCATACTGTTTCCTACCTTCATGGTGGAATAGTCTTAATCCCAGTGTTTTTTACTTCACAGCATACTAATATCTACAGACTGCATCTGCCCTACACAATACTTCTCTAGAGAATATATTTACTTGGTATGTTGCTACCATTTACAACATAAAACTTTTAAGAAAGGTTTGATGCCTCATTGTAAGGAAAATGAACTGAACAAATAAAGCAGTGAATTAAAGAATCGTTTTCAGCTGATTAGTCAAAAGTCACTGTCAAGAAAGAGCAGACAGGAGTAATGCCCTGCACAGGAAATGGATGGAACCAGAGATCATTGTCCTGGGTAAAACAAGCTAGAGTCAGAAAGACAAAGGCAGCCTTTTCTGTCATTGTACAAGCTAGATTTCCAATGCAAGAAGACATGAAAACAGATGTGGACTATTGGGCAAGAAGACGGAGGCGGGAAGAACATGTTATAGCAATGGGGAGGGGGCGCCTAAGCAAATTACATTACATAAAGCAATGAAGTACAATGAAGCCCAGTATTTCACACAGCCGATATACACTAACAAAAATTCAGGGACAATTTAAAAATATGAACTTTCAGAAAAATTGTTTAAAAGGTAGCTAGAAGACTCATGGCACACAACACTGGGAAAGGACATATTAGCCAAAGAGATACTCCGGCAAGACTTGGGGGGAGGGGGCCAGTTACTATTTTGGTAACATGCACAGGGTTCAGGGTTAGGCTGGGAACAAACTTCACTCAGAGTCTTGGTAGCTACAGTCATCACCTCCCCAGACATCCTTAAATGCCATTACTCAGTAAGTACCTGTCACCTTGAATGAGTCCAACAAAAAGGAGAAATAAGATTTCAAGTCTAAATGAAGAACCCGAAAACCACATTATCTCTGATCACAGATTTCCCCCATAGCAATGAACAATATCCAGATTCTGGGATCAATCTGTTTCTGTAATTAATGGAAGACACTGAATATTCACTAACCATCTATTATGAACCAAGCACTAGCATCTAACCATTAGCTAATTGAACCCACAGAACTTACTTCTAGTGAAAGACATATTATTTTCCTTGTTGTATAGAATAGAAACAGAGTAAGCACATGTTTCTGAGTTCCTGCAACTACCTGCATTCAAACCTACATTGATTCAATTTGAAAACCAAGAATAGTTAGTTATAGACATCCTTAGTAATCAACAGAGAGATCATAAGCTCCAGGATAAAATTTCCAACCAGTTTCACTAAAATGGGGAAAATGCAACCAAGCTATTAAGAACACTTTATCAACTGAACTGACTTGTACGTAAAGCTGCAGTTCAAAGGGGTGAATATATATTAGCACATACTATGTAACATACACTACACTGATAAAGAGAAAGCACTTCCCTGAATCTTGAGTTTCCTTCAAAAGAAAAAGATCCAACAAAGACAGAACCCCACCACTGAGGGTCAGTTTGTTATCTCTAAATCTTAGTCAATCCCATTGCCATGCGACAGGGTTCAAAGCCCAGGTTTTTTTGTTGTTGCTGTTTTAGGGAAAGGGATCATAAGAAGAAGAAAGGGAAGGGAGGAGACTGGCCTCTGGGACAGGAGCAGCAGGGGAGAGGAGAAAGGAGAGAGGGAAAGAGAGAGGGGAGCAGACAGTGAGGGAGAGAGAGAAAGATGGGGAGGTGGGTGGGGCCCTTAAAAGGGAACATAGTGAATGTTCACAGGTGGTGCTCTTAGTGGCTGCAGCTGAGGGCGTATCCTGTCAGGACCCCAAGGGCAGGCCAGCACAGATGCCTGCATGCTAACACTTGGGCCCTTAACAAGTTCAGGATATAGTTCAATACTTTCAATACTCCCATTTAACAGACGAGAGCCATAACCGGCCTGTGTCATTAAAACAGGTTGAATCAGGATCAACTGGAAGAGAAGAATCCCACGGCCTGGCTTTCCATACATATTCCATTTGAAATGATTCTAATCTTAAACATATCGCTGTAGTCTGGTTTCTAAGACACCCTATAGGTCATCAAACAGGAAAACATACATGTGGACAGCGTTGAAACGACCTACTGCCGAAACGCACGAAATAAAACAAAAATCCTTAAAATGACTACCAAAGTTAAGAAACTTCAGATACGCCCGAGGAAGGATTCTGAAGAAATGACATCTCCGATCAAGCAACTGGAGTAAGGTCCCTGCCGTGTCGACGGAGAGAAAAATGCTTCTCTATCAACTGAGGCCCGAAGGCATCAAGGGAAGGAACCCTGCACGATGACATCCATCAAGCCCTCCCGGGGCTCGGTGAGGGCCAACACAGCTCATCCCGCCAAGCCACGAAACGGGTCGCCTGGGGCTGCACTAACTCCTTCTACACCTCTGACCAACCCTCCCGAAGTCCCATGATCCGCAGCTGCACAGAACACACTCGGATCAACTCCGCCGCTCGCTGAAAAGTTAAAAAAAAAAAAAGCACCAAGTCCAGAGTGGGGGGGAAAAATCCACGTGAACTCGAACACGGAAAGCAGAGAGAGGCTCAACCGCGGAGGCAAAGCAGCAGAGAGGGCAGGAGGATTTTGGAACGGCTGGGGGTGGTGGTAAGAGATCGGAACCATCTGTGCCACCAGGGCCTGCCCGGGGTGACCCCCGCCGTGTCTTCTGGATGCCCGCACCGGGGGTGGGGGTGGGGGGGTTTATCCGGACTGACGATTGTCACTTTCGGGTCACCCACCCAGACTTCTGCTGACGCTGGGGCACAGAAGAAGAAGAAGAAAAAAATCATACCCACTGCACGGATGAGCAAACCAACCCGCGAGCGAGCTCTCCGGTTACGCAACGCCGGGTGTCGCTCGGAACCGCGGGGGGCGGCGCGTGGGCTGGGGCTGAGGGGTGCGGGGGGCCCGGGACCCCGAGAGGAGCGAGGCCCGGGCAGGGAGGGAGGGAGGAGGCCCGGCGCCCTCGGGGCAGACTGAACGCGGGGCTGCTCGGGGCCGGCGTCCCGCGTGCGAGCGCGGCATAGCGAGGCAGCCCGAGCCTGGGCCACGCTGGGCTCGCCCCGCGGGTCGCCGTGACCCGGAAACAGTACCCCGGAGCGCCGAGCCCGGCGACGACGACCAGGAGGAGGAGGGGGAGGAGGTCGGGGGAGAGGGCAGGAAGTGCGGGACGCCCCGGAGGTTGCCGGGGAAGTGCCGCCACCCGCCTCCCGCAGGCCGGGCCGGGGCCACCCGGGGTCCGGAGGCCGGGGAGGGGGGGACGGGGAAGCCCCTCGCGGGCGGGCGGGAGGGAGGGAGGGCGCTCACACTCACCTGCCCCTCCCCCGCCTGCTCGCCCGGACGGCCCGGCGGAGGCTCCCAGCTGCCAGGCGCGGGCCGCGCGCGCGCGCGCGTGCGCGTGCACACGGCCCGGTCAGTCCCGGCTCGGATCACTCGCGCCGCCGCCGCCGCCGCCGCCGTGACCGCCGCGCAGCCGCCATGGCCGCCCGGACCCCGCCCCCGGACCCCGCCCCAATCCCCGCCCCACAGCCGGTTCTCCTCCCTCTGCTCCGCCCACACCGCGCCCCTAAGGCGGAGCGAGGGGCGGTCTCCAGGCTCTCCTGTCCTCGCCCGGCCCCGCCCCCAGCTGCTTCACTGCCCCGCCCTATTCCCCGCCCCTAAGGCGGAGCTACGGGCCGTCCCCAGGCTCTCCCTTCTGGACCAGCTCTGACCCCGCCCTATTCTCCCAGCCCCGCCATTGCCCCGCCCTGTTCCCCACCCAGACCCCGCCCTCAAGGCGGAGCTAGCGGCTGTCTCCAGGCTCTCCCTTCCGCACCCGGCCCCGCCCTATTGACCCCGCCCTAACCCCGCCCCCCTCCTCACTGTCCCCCGCCCACCATGGCCCCGCCCAGGCCCCGCCCCTCAGGCCGAGCAACGTGCCGTCTCCAGGCTCTCCCTTCCGCACCCGCCTCCGGCCCCGCCTCCGGCCCCACCCCTAAGGCGGAGCGAGGCGCTGTCTCCGGGCTCTCTTCCGCCTCAGGTACCTTCAGGCCCAATGGAGCATAGGCTGCTCCTCTGACGTACAAGCCTCCAGCCAATGAGCGCAGAGGGCGTGGCCAGTCGCGCCCGCCTTAAGGAGGCCTGGGCTTCGGCCCGCGGTTGGTAGCTGTGTCTGCAGAGCGCCCCGTGGCTTTGGGCTTCTGCCAAGCTACCCTGCTTCCCTTCCTCGTAGATGCGTCTCGCCCGCCCGTGACCAAGCCCCTTTCTGGTCCATCCGCCAAAGCTGTCCGCCGGATGGGGCCCAGGGGACGCTGCGTGCGGATTGTGAAATATTGGAGGAGCTCCTCCGTCTCCGCAGGATGTGCATGTGACTAGAACAGACCCCGATCGTTGCAGCACCCGAGACGTTTACAAGTCTCTTCCCGGACTTAGCCTACATAAGGCTTAAATCTTGGTTCAGTCTTTAACTGGAAGTAGAGGAGCATTTCCTCTAAGTCCCCATGATATCCTGGCCAGTGCTAGGCATTTTACCAAGCCCTTTCTGTGGTTCTCTCTTGCAATCGGATATTTTTCTGTTATTTGTTTTACTTTTTAATTGTACATATTCATTGTACACGTTACTGTGTTCCATAAAACACGTTTTCACGTAAGGATACATCGTACCCTGAACACATGCTCTCCCCCACTCTACTGCCCCCCTTTTTCCCACTTCCCGTAGACCCTTGCTCCCCTAGAGTCTAGGGCATAGACAGTTTCACTTCTGCTTACATAAACGAGTTTTCATGCTGTCTTCTGTACTGTGTGCTCGCAGAAACCCTAGAGCAACTCTTCTCAACCCATGGATGCGACCCCTTTGGGGGTCAAATGACAGTTATGAAGTAGCAACAAAAATATTTTTTTGACTGGCGTCACCACAACATGAGGAACTGTATTAAAGGGTCGCAGCCCTAGGAACGTTGACAACCACTGAGCTAGAGTTTATTGGTGTATTGGACTAGGATCCCTTAAGCAGCTACTGTTGGAAAGTGGCTGTAAGGGTGTGTGTGTGTGTGTGTGTGTGTTATATCCAAAAACTGAAAACAGGTTTGTTTGTTTTTTTCGTTGTTGCTCAACTGGCCCTTTTCTTTATGAACCTTTTAAAAGTGATAACAGTGTTTGTTGTCCCACCAAGATTCATCTATTATCTAACCATTTGACCTCCAGCATCCTACCCTACCCTCCTCCCTGCAATCCACCCCACATTTTTATTAGTAATTTATTGTGGTGTATTCCTTATCTGCCTTTGAGGAAGAGTCTTGCTGGTCTCAAACTTATGCCCCCTCCTGCCTCCGCCTCCATGCTAGGTGTACCATGGATGTCCACCACCAATCCAAGACAGCAGTTCAGTACGCTTACCCTGCAATTCCAAAGAAAGTGAATTTAGGATTCTCGGTCTGGTTCTGAGCAAACAGGAATGCATTATCTAATCTTTTAATCTGGGTTTCCTGTTAAGTGAATTTACTGCTCACAAAGCTGTTAGTGAAGTCTGTTTTAATCAAGCAGTCGTAGATTATAGCAGTCATTCGATACTTGCCACATCAAAGAAAGTGCCTGCAGTCCCCTAAATAGGTACTCTAACTGTAATCTCTTCTATTGTCCACATTGAATACTCTATAGTTTCCAATATTCTTTGAATTTCCAACATCCAATAGTTCTGATATGAGCTTTTTGTTTTGTTTTGAATTGTGGAGTTTTGGGTTTTTTGTTCATTTGTTTGTTTGCTTCTTTGGGGATTCGAGATAGAGTTTCCCTGTGTAGTCCCAGTAGATCAGGGTGGCCTCAAACTCAGAGATCCACCTGCCTCTGTCTCCTGAGTGCTGGGATTAAAAGTGAGCACCACTGCCTGGCTGTTTTTGTTTGTTTATTTGTTTGTTTTGTTTTAATTGATTATTTACAACTTGGTTACAAATTACTTTTATGCCCCATAATAATTTCTTCCTTTTCATGATTTTTTTTTCAATTTGCCACTTGCGACTAAGAAGGAGGACACATATGTCTATAGAAACCCTGGAAGCTGAGTACTTGTTTAGCATAGAACAAAAGGAAAGCAACTGTACTGGCTGGCTATATTTTTATCAACTTGACACAAGCTAGAAGCTTCAGAGAGGGGCCTCAGTGTCACTGAGAAAAGCGCCCCCATGAGATAGGACTGTAGGCAAGCTTGTGGGGCACCCTCTTAATTAGTGATCAATGTGGAGAGGTTCAACCAATTGTGGGCAGGTCACCTCTGGACTGGTGGCCCTAGCTTCTATAAGAAAGCACATTGAGCAAGCCACTGGAGGGTGTCAGTAAGCAGCACTCCTCCATGACCTCTGCATCAGCTTTTGCTTGTTTGAGTTCCTGTCCCGGGTTCCTTCATTGATGCACAGTGATTTGAAAGAAGAAACCCAATAAGCTTTTTCCTCCCCCAATGTGTTTCGGGCACAGTGTTTCATCATGGCAGTGAGAACCCTGACCAAGACAACAACAAACCCAATTTACTTTAAAAATACCTATAAGAGAATATTTTAAGTCTTGTCGGTGATCCTACATGCCAACACTCCAGGATCCCTCAGTTAGGGACCACTTCTGGAAGTGTGCAAATTTATGTCTTGTCTGATGCCCATATCTTGGGGGGGGGAGCAGGAAAGGATGACCAGATGTAAAGAAGGAACAGCAAAAGAGATTTTTCAGATTCTGAGTAGAAAAAGGCAATCAAACAGTCCATTAAAATTACCACCAGAAAACACTTATAGATGGTAACTGTTACTGACTGTAGTTGTTACTGATTGTAACTGCTGATTGAAGCTGTCAACTGGCCACAGCTGTTACTGATTGTAACTGTTACTGATCACAATTGTTACTGACCACAACTGATCGTAACTGTTGCTGATTATAGTTGTTACTGATTCTAACTGTTACTGATTCTGTCAACTGACCACAACTGTTACTGATTGTAACTGTTACTAACCATCTGGATTGCCTTCCTCCCCTGAGTCCAGTTTGTCCTGCCTATTCTGTGCAGAAAACATCTGTCCATTATAAAGCCTCTGGCCAGCCTCCTCCTCATTTATCCAGGCTCCCTTTGGGAGACTCTTCATTGTTTAAGTTCTCCAGCTGTGGCTGAGCCTCATGCACTGACCCTGTTCAGAGACTGACAGCCCTGAACTTCTGGCTCACCTCACCCAATTTCTGGTGATCACCTAAAGGTGCCCCCCCTCTCGTTTTAAACCAACTGAGAAAACTTGGAGGTTAATAGATTTATATTAATGAACAGCTGTTATAGTTGAATACAGATTAAATTTTACTGTATGCTTATTATAAATAGGTTTTAGGTGCAGCCTTCTTTGTAATTTGAACTCTACTGTTTAAAATAAATAGATCCAGTTATACTTGTCTATCAGTTCAAATCTACTTGGGGTGTTTTGTCTTAATAGTTGCTATGTAAAGTCAGATTTTATTTCTGACTGTTGTTTTGGATCTCCCTCTGGCCACCCACCACTGACCCTTGAAAATGCCCTATTGGCGATTCTTGTTAAAGATTTATCTAGGTATACTATGTATTTACTGTGGAAAAACTACATATTATAATAAATATGGTAAATGAAATTTAATCTTCTGTCAGTGAGAATTAAGTTCAAGTTGTAATCACATAAGAAATACTAAAAATTTTAAGGCATATATTTCCTTAGGAAGAATTTACATATTGCAAGGCTCATCAACCTAAATACATAAATTGCGCTTTTAAAAAAACTGCAGAAATGCTCTTGTCATGTATCCAGATACACTCATAAATACCTTGCCCAAAAGGAATTACTTCCTGTGGTAATAGGCACAGATTCCATTGCCATGGCAACCATAACCAGTTGCTCTGTAACTGGTTATGGTTGTGAGTGTGAGTTTTATACAATGTTCATTGAAACATTAGGGCCATAAGGCAGGACACAGTGCAGCTTCTGTAATATTTGGTGTTTTTTTTATCTGAAAAACATACAGTGCAAGAAAATTTTCATTATCATATTCATTGGTTAGAGAGTTTTTCTACATTGTGTGCCAAATCCTCACATACCCCTCAACCTGAAGGAACTTGTCAAAGTTAGCATTCATGGGTAAATAATATTGCCAGGAGTACAGTTTTTCCATAAGCTTTCAATCACTGATTCGCCATAACTGAACGACTTAATGGACATTAGGTCCTGTGAATGGGGCAACGAGCATCCAGACACTGGGAAATGGATATTCTTGGTATTTGGAGCCCACACGAGTGAGCTGAAAATGTCCACTTCTAAGTCTGGCCCCTGTGGATAAGAGTCTCCTGGGTCAAATCAAAGTATAGGTTTTTCTGACTTGGATGGTATGGATAATGTCTTATTGCTCTCATGAAACAACAGGACCAAAAGCAAGTTGGTAGAGGAAAGGGTTTGTTTTGGCTTTGCTTCCACACCCTTAGTCCACCACTGAAGGAAGTCGGGAGAAGAATTCACACAGAGCAGGGACCAGGATACAGGAGCTGATGCAGAGGCCATGGAGGGGTGCTGCTTACTGGCTTGCTCCTATTTTACTCAAAACTTTACATAGAGACACGTTTCTCCACTTAAAGTGAGAGAAAATTAAATGTCAGAAGCTGGGCTCCAGAGTTAGATTACCAGGGTTTCAATTTCAGATTGGCACTAGTAGCCCTTTGAATGCTGGCATTTGAAAGATTTTTTTATTTATTATGTATACTGTGTTCTGCCTGCATGTATCCCTGCAGGCCAGAAGAGGGCACCAGATCTCATTACAGCTGGTTTTGAGCCACCATGTGGATTCTGGGAATTGAACTCAGAACTTCTGGAAAAAGCAGTGTTCTTAACCTCTGAGCCATCTCTCCAGCCCCAGAGGGTATTTTCTTTAAGCTTTCTAAGCCTCCGGTATCCTTATCTATAAAAGAGATGATAACCTTAGACGGTTATTGTAAGAGTCACTCAGTGTTGGCCATGACATTTAATAAGCATATGACCGGTCTTCATTGTCATAATTAGTTGTAGAGGTATTTTGCATGGTATTTGGGAGGGTTAATAGGAGAAGCTCAGCATGGTGGGATATTCCTATAATCCCAGCATGCTCTGGAGAGAGGGCACTAGGACCATGAGCTTGGGGCCAGCTTGGACTATATCTGTGGATCATCTGCCAAAGCCAGCATTCCGTAACAACAAAGGAGAGGCCTGGTGGTTACTGTTAACTCTCAACTTGGATCTACATACCTTGCATATGTCTCTTCCAGAACCCAAATTTGTTCTGCAGATGGTAAATTACAAATGGTGGGATTTAATTTTCTAACAGAAATGAAGCATCATGAAAGGAGAGTAAAAGGGGGACAAGCCTGGGAAAGACTGACTTGAAGTCTCAGCGTGGGATAGAGATGTGTTTGGCCTCCTTGTCCCCATCAGGACCAGGCATTTCTCAGGCTGTCAGGAAGTGACTCAAGTGGCTATGGAAAGCGCTCAGTCTCCCAGTGATGTGAGGCCAACTATCCACAGCACCCTTTTGACACAGCCAGTGTTTGTCACAGGGCTGTCACATACCTTCTCCAACCCTCCTTGCCAAGGACCTCCTACCTGCGGTTCGCATAAAGTTATGGCTCCGTTCTATTCCGTCTGATGGCTCGAACTCTTTCTGTTGCTTCTAGTCATTCATTGGCTTTGCCATGCTTCATTTCCCAGTCATCTCCCGTCTTAGGCGGCCCTCCTAGACAATGCGTCCCACTGTTAGATTTTCTCCTTCTTCTTCCTGCCACTTTCTTCCTGTTCCCCATCGCACCTCTTCCTCCCTCTTCTCCTCTTCCTCGCTCCCTCACCTGCCCCTCCTCTCTCTCTCTCTCTCTCTCTCTCTCTCTCTCTCTCTCTCTCTCTCTCTCTCTCTCTCTCTCTCTCTCTCTCTCTCTCTCTCTCTCCCTCTCTTTCCCTCTTTCCCTCTCTCTCTCTCTCTCTCTCTCTCTCTCTCTCACACACACACACACACACACACACACACTTTCACAGTTCAGCCCTGTGCATCGGGAAGATGCTGTACTGTGCAGGTTCTGTCCCGCTACTGGGTCTCTGATCAAATTCTTGGACCACAAACTCTTCCATTCCATACCTTGGCCTTCGGGGGACACATTTTAAGTTTTCTTCAAGCCAAATGTAAGTCCTTTGCTCCTGACTGGGAACTAGAACCTGATTTCACTGCCCCTCTGTTTTGCTATGTGGCTTCTAATCATGGCCATCTCCCAAGATCTACTCGCAAAAAAAAAAATCTTTATGCTTTTAGGCAACTAACTTGGAAACACGTTACACATCTGTGTGGTATCTCTCTTTGTGCTTTGTCTTAGCCAAAATTTATGTTTTCATATCTGGCTAAGGGTAGATCTCTGTGACTAACAAAACAAAGATTTCCTCAGGTTTACTGGCAGAAGATTTGCCTCCCTCCCCAACCTCAGCTCTCTCTCTCTTCCCTTTTGTTTCCAAGGATATATAACAGTGATCAACTATCCCGAATCCATGCTGACGTTTGAGCTCCATCTGGACCTGCCCCCAAAATGGCTGCCATGCCTTCATTAGGCAATCTACTAAGTTAATCATTCCCTTAAAAGTTCCTGAGTAAAAGTTACATTTTAGTAGTCTGAAAGCTTCTAGGTAACTTTATTAATGTGTGGCTTTCTGTATTCTCTTATCACCTTGGAAAATAAGGGTTTTGTTTGTTTGTTCGTTTGTGTGTTTTGAGTCTGTTGATCTCTGGAATCGGAAGGCACCCTCGGTACAGACAGTTTTGAATGGAAACGAGGGCAAAGAGGATCCTTAACTGGGACATGTGACACTAGCCAACTTCAGGGACAGCAAGAGAACTCTCCTTCCTTCTGGGATTCCTAGCATACCTGCAGATGTGAAATGCAAGCCTTCAGCCTGAGGAAGGTCCAGAGCAATCTTGCCACCAAGGCTTCCAGAAAGTTCAGCGACTCCACCTTTTGTGAAGGATACAGAACACCAGGAAAGGCTGGCTTATTTTGTTTGCTTTGTGTTTGGCTGTGTTGCCTGTTTTGTTTCTGAGACAGTGGCACTCTGTAGCCTAGCCTGCTTTGGAGTCACTGTGACACTCCTGCCTCCTCGACATTAGGGTAGAGGCATGAGTCACAATGCCTGACTCCTTCAACTTTTTGGAGGAGTCTCCACTTTAATGGGACTCGGAGGTGAAGTCACTGCTTCCAAATGGGAGATTCCTGTCATTTTAATGACATAAGAACGTACAAGCCAGGCATTGGTGGCACACACCTTTAAACCCAGCACTCGGGAGGCAGAGGCAGGCGGATCTCTGTGAGTTCGAGGCCAGCCTGTCTACACAGTGAGTTCCAGAACAACCTCCAAAACAATACAGAGAAACCCTGTCTCGAAAAACAAAAGAAGAACGTACAAGTATAAGGAATCAACAGAAACTTATACTTTGAAGAAACCTGATTTTTTTATTTAAATGTAATGACTACATGTCAAATATTATAAAAATACTAAAGTATTTTAGCATATTTTCTGGAAAATGCTGTGGGCTTTTTCTTGTTGGGTAGCAAAATAGCTGATACATATTCAGTTCTTAGAGTTTTGTTTTCAGGCCATTCTTCAGTAGGCACTTGAGTTGCTTCCTATAAAATAACAATAATACATTGTTTTAAAAAGAGGAGTAGTACCATATGGTACATTTAAAAGTATGTGTCATTAGTTTTAACTTTTAAAATATTTCATGGTTTGGCTAACAAGGCAAAAGTAACAAATAAAAAAAATCATTTCAAGCCTGGCGTTGGTGGTGCATGCCTTTAATCCCAGCACTCCGGAGGCAGAGGCAAGTGGAAATCTTGTGAGTTCACAGCCAGCCTAGTCTACAGAGTGAGAACCAGGACAGGCTCCAAAGTGAAATCTAACAGCAATTTGGAGGGTAAAAATGAATGAGTTCATGAGGGAAGGTTTTGGGGGGGGGTGCGAATACAGCAGATGAGGGGAAGACAGTATAGCGAGGAGACTTTAATCAAGGACAGATATGAGAGACACTGTAGTCTGACGAAGATGGTGAAGAGCTCATGACGGAAGCAGAGGCTGAGAAGCGTGAGCTGGAGGGGACAGGACCCCACGCTATCATCACTGAGATGGGACAAGTGTGAGAAAGAAGCAAATGAGGACTCAGGGCTGGCCACATTTGTCCCTTTCCCTGCCCCCGCATCCTTCTTGGTTCCTGCTTTTCCTTCTCTCCCCAAAGGGTAGACATTTTAGGCAACGTTCCCAGGCTTCACATGCCACTCACAGAGGAACATAAAGCATCATTCAGAATCGTTCTCACTCAGAAAGGCCTCTCTTTTAATCTCTTCAGACTCCCTGTTTGCCTGCCACATTATTGGCAGCACGCTATTTATACCCGACGCTGCTCAAGCCACGCCAATGTAAGCCCTGTGGCCGTAGTCAACGGTTTACTGCTGAGCGAGTGTTGCAACCCAGAGCAGTGACTGGGCTGTGGGGTTGGGCTGCCGCGTCTGCTGAGGAGGTGTCACTGTGTCGTGTGGGCTGCTGGAGTGTATGATACACACACGGGTGTGTGGGGACGTTTGCTACAAAGACTGGGAAGAGGGGGCAGTCTTGACGTGGAGCTGCCACCAAGAGAATAGAACCAAAAGCCAGCTCAAGCATCGCCTGAGCTGTGACAGAAACCAGACCACTTCTGGGTTTCTTGGCTGGTTAGTTGCATAAGCTTTTCAAGCCCTTTGTAACACCTGAAGGGTTCTGAGATTATCAGCACCGTCTCTGTAAATGGGGTTCCTAACTGACCTAAGGAATAAAATCCCAGAGTCAGATATAGAGGGAAACGCTGAGAGATCAGAGAGAAGAAGGAACAAGCCACGGCCACACCTCACCTCCTTAGCGTCTCAGCAGACAAGAGAGCTAGTTCCCCATTCTCCATGCTTATATCCTGTTTCCGCCCAGCTACCTCACTTCCTGTCTGTCTGTCCAGACCTCCAGACCTCTATGGTTAGCTAGTGGCAAACTCCATTCTCTGACCTTCAGACAGGCTTTATTTGTACAAGCAAGATATCAGCACGTCTCCACCCCCACATTCTTGTATCCCAACACATAATGGCGGTATCGTTTCCCTAGAGTTATCGTTTCGGTTTTTTTGTTTGTTTGTTTGTTTGTTTGTTTTTTCTAGACAGGGTTTCTCTGTATTGTTTTGGAGGCTATCCTGGAACTCGCTCTTGTAGACCAGGCTGGCCCCGAACTCACAGAGATCCGCCTGCCTCTGCCTCCCAAGTGCTGGGATTAAAGGTGTGCGCCACCAACGCCCGGCTTCCATAGAGTTTTCTTGTCTGCCGTTGAGCCTATATTTCTCTCTGCGTGTCCAGTGTTGCCAGACACAACTGCCGTGCCAACAGCTTTTGCTTAGGAAACACCTGCCGGCCCCTTTGCACAGAGAGACATAGGTGACATATGGAGGGAGTTGCACTCACCTGTGGCTGGGTTCAGAATGAAAACTGCAGCCATAAACACTTCCAAGAGCAACAGTCTCCCCACGAGACAGCCTGCTACTACAATCAGTGTCTGGAGAGGTGTGCCCACCGCAGATGCTTTGCCGTGGCCGCCGCCGCTGCTGCCACTGCTAGGGCTACTTCCGCCTCCACCAGGGACAGTCTGTGCTGCCAGGCTGAAGGTTCGAGATTCCACCCGAACCATATCAGCCAGGATAAACTCGATTTTATAATTTTTTCCTAGGGGGAGGAAAGACATGGGAGTAGTTGACTCCTTTGTTTGTTTTCAGTCAATTCCCTGTTGTCTTTGATCGGCTTCAAAATTGTGACTAATTTCTAATGAAGTGCTTTTGTCATTGGAGACATAGTCAGAGTACAGAGAGGAATACTGGAGTTCTCAGAAGTTCAGTCTGTATCTAACCACAGCCAGGGGAAAAGAGTACTATCTCTAGGCAGGTCGATTTGGGATGTGCAAAAAGCCACCAGATCAAGTCAGAGAGTAAGAACAAGCAGTTGTTCTCCGTGGCTTCTGCGCCGGCGTCCTGCTTTGAGTTCCTGCCTGGACTCCCCTAAGTGATGGGCTACTATGAAATGAACCTTTTCCTCCCTTAAGTTGCCATTAGCCGTGGTGTTTATCACAGCAACAGGAAACACGCTAGAACACTTGGGATTCTCCACAGCAACTGGTTGGTGGAGCTCAAGGCTCCACAAATTTGTTCCTATTTTCTCTTTTCTCACAAGCTTGCAGAAAGTCTACAACTAACTTCTTAGCTCAGCTCTGAACCCTTGCATAGATTGCTAAATTGCTACAAGTCTACCTTTCCTTAAATGAAACATACATATATTAATAAGAAATAATAATACTTTATTTAAATTCATTTTTTATTGTTTTGAGGCAGGGTTTCTCTGTATTGTTTTGGAGCCTGTCCTGAAACTCATTCTGTAGACCAGGATGGTCTCAAACTCACAGAGATCTGCCTGCCTCTGCCTCCCGAGTGCTGGGTTTAAAGGCGTGCGCCACCAACACCCGGCTATTTAAATTCATTTTATGTGCATTGGTGTGAAGGTGTCAGACCCCTGAAACTGGAGTTAAGACAGTTGTGAGCTGCTATGTGGGTGCTAGGAATTGAACCCTGGTCCTCTGAGAGAGCAGCCAGAGCTCTTAAACCGCTGAGTCATGTCTCCAGCTCTGTATATATTATTTTCAAATGTAATACATTTAGTGATAAGATTTGGTGCAATAACAAACAAGAAGAGAATACAAATCATGATATTTTTATGTAACCTCCAGTTACATTTAAATTTCTCTAGTCACTATTTTACTTTCTTTTTTGCATGTTAGATGTATTTTATAGAGACACCAACTATAATCAGAAAAAGTAATAATATAGAATTCTGATGTCTACAGTTTATTGACCAAAGTTTTATATAGAATAGTTTGTCCATTTAAAGCAAATACACACCTATTTACTGCAGAAATGTATGAGGATCTAATGTGGTCTGCTCACCTGTTCTGTGAAGAGTAAGATCTGTATAGTTGGCCCAGCAGTTGATAAATGGAATTGTTGTATTCCCACCAAGGCCTCCAACTTGGTTGTTATTGGAGTCCTTCAGGATAGCCTTCAAAGTAAGTGATGTAATTCCAACTGATACACAGTTACCCTCAAGAAAAAAGTATAGAGGAGGATTATAACAAACATCCTGTCCTATATCTCCAAAAAAGATACACTATTTTTTAAACATTCTATTGCAAATTAAAAACCTACAGAATCTCCTAACCACACCAAAAGAGATCCTGAACGTGAACAGAAATTCAGGCTCATTTCAAAGAATCCTTTTGGTAACAGTAAACAGAAGAGGCCATCCACGGGTATTAGTTCAACTTTCACATTCAAGAGGCCAGAGACGTGACTCCCTTTTAGAACAGCCAAAGCTCTTCATTCTGGGACTCACCTCGTGATCCACAGCCTTCACTGAGGGCTGCTGAGGAAAAGGCTGCCCTGGCTGTGTTGCCACAGGCTGGGCAACCACTGAGAGAGAAGAAACGAAGGCCATGTAGTGAACAGGAAACGCAGATCTTTCAACTGGCTGGGCTGTCACCTGGCATGGACAGAGCAAGGAAGTGATCTTTCCAGGACAAACTTCCAGGTGGGCCAAGTATAATATATTCAGCTCATTTAAAACAGTAGCTTCAACATGTAAAATGGGCATTACTATAAGTGTCTCTCTAGATCAAAGCTATGCACATATTCAAAGCAAAATACACATGAAAAACTAAGTTTTAGAAGATACAATCATGTTCACTATTGGGGTGTGTGTGTGTGTGTGTGTGTGTACGTGCACACACTCATTTGTATTCCTGCATGTGCATGAACCCACAAAGTCCAGAGGGGGATGTAGTATGTCATTCTGTATCACTTTCTATCTTACCTACCGGGGACCATGTCTCTCACTAAACCTGG